TTAGTTCCATGTAATCATCGTCTTCCATTTTTTTAATTGATAAACACTTAAAACGGGCTTAATATTTTAAGTTTAATTTCAAAAAAGAATCGGGAACAACGAATAACTGTCAACATGCTGTCAACTAACTTGTCAAACGCATACTAGATCTAATGATTTTTAATTCTAGTGGGGTATAATTGACAAAAATCGTGTAATATGAATATATTCTCACTAGTGATATATGGATTGCTTTATGTTGCCTTAGATACGCATATAATACATCCATATAATGACAGTAGTAAATAAACATTAGAGAGTTATTGCAAGTTCACTTAAGGTCAGTCACTATTAGTGCCGCTCTTATTTTGACATCTGAGCATGCGCAGATGACTAACTTTAATAAAGATTGTGCCTGTCCTTAATAGAGAGATATTGCAAATAGAGAGTTATTGCAAGTTCACTTAAGGTCAGTCACTATTAGTGCCGCTCTTATTTTGACATCTGAGCATGCGCAGATCACTAACTTTAATAAAGATTGTGCCTATCCTTAATAGAGAGATATTGCAAATAGAGAGTTATTGCAAGTTCACTTAAGGTCAGTCACTATTAGGGCCGCTCTTATTTTGACATCTGAGCATGCGCAGATCACTAACTTTAATAAAGATTGTGCCTATCCTTAATAGAGAGATATTGCAAATTTTTATAAAGCCAGCCACTAATAGTGACATCGTAATTAGAGTCAAATAAATTCTATAATAGTACCTAATATTAAAGAGGCATTATAATTTTAGAAGGTTTAAATGACGAGCGCATCCGAAAGCTATAAAGTCGCCACTACCTGCTGCCTTTAAACATCCACAATTAAGGACAGGCACAATCCTTAATAAAGTCAGTATTAGAACATAAACATCTGCGCATGCTTAGATGTCAAAATAAGAGCGGCACTAATAGTGACTGACCCTAAGTGAACTTGCAATAACTCTCTTTTAAGGACAGGCACAATCTTTGGTAAAGTTAGTGATCTACGCATGCTCAGATGTCAAAATAAGAGCGGCACTAATAGTGACTGACCTTAAGTGAACTTGCAATAACTCTCCCAGCAAACACACTTACGTACATAAGACGTACTATGTACGTACTGATGGGACGTAAAGTACGTACCATGTACGTACTTTACTGTACGAAGTACGTACATAGTACGTACATAATACGTACATTTTCCAAACGACGGTACGTACCTAGTACGTACTTAAAGTACGTACTCTGTACGTACCTAATGTACGTACTCTGTACGTACCTCATGTACGTACTCTGTACGTACCTAATGTACATACTGTGTACGTACTTAATGTACGTACTTATTCCAATAGAGTACATATTTTAGACGTACTTTACATCCTTATTGGTACTTACTTATGATGTATAATGTACGTATTAGTGCATTAAAAAGAAAAGTAAACAAGTTAATTTGTATTTATTTAATTTTTTACATTAAAAGAATAATTTAAATTGTTTTGCTATCTTTTTGAAAGTTTTTAGGCGATCATCAGCTCTTCTTAGCCATCTCACAATTTTCCTGTTCTACAAACTTCTTCTCTTTCCATTTGCTACTTTTTATAGAACCTTCTGCAAAGAAATAATATCAAATTAGAAACTTAACTTTGGTACTTTTTATAATAAACAATTTAATAAAAACAATACAACAAAAAGATGTAAAGTAAGCAATCGTTTCCACAGTTCAAAATTATCATTGTTAATATACTCCTGGATCTAAACCTCTCTCATTTGTATCCACCTGTTTTGGCCTTATGCCTTTGAAAACCAATTCGTTTCTGCCACTGTTCTATAATATCGGAACACCTATATTTCTTTTTGTTAAGCTATATCGACGTCAGTTTTGAAGTCCAATGGTTGGAAGAACACAATTTCATTAGATACAAAAATAATTTTGACTGGATTGAGAGGTTTTAATGCAATGACTTTATGATAACTGGCATGCAAAAATAAAAAATTAAACATCTTACCCACTTCAACTGCAGCCAATTATAATTTGTTGCTAGCTTATTAGTTATTAAGGCACCAGCAATACTCCTTTTGACAAAATCCAAAATTAAATTATTAGGGTCTATAAAATATCACTTCTTTTCTCTAAAATATTTATTCATTTCCTTAAACTTTTTTAATTGTTTTGTAGCATCTTTGTAATGTTTACTATCGGATGGGATGACATATCTATAAATTATATTTATTACACATAATTTTTTAAAATTAAAATGAAACCACTCACCAGAATAAAATGACGAAACTATGTACTTAGGTATAACACGCACTAAAAAGTCTAAAGAACTGTCTTGTTCAATTATAATAAATTATACACAATTATTTATTTAATGAAACACTTAATAGTTAAATCCTTAAACATGAAAAACTAACAATAACAATCTGTTAAAACGTGGTTGCCTGCAACACTTAAAAAAAAAAACGTGCGAGTTTAGTTTAGAGTTTAGGTTAGGTTAAATAAATTGGATTTCGTCTTTTTTTCTTTGCATCTTTTGGCCTACGGTCAACAGAAATTTGGTAAAAGCATAGGTTTTTTAATAAAATAGGTATGCAACCAGGATTACGTACACTTAGGTACGTACTTAGTACGTACTTTTCTGTACGTACTGGTACGTACTATTGTGTACGTACTTAAAACGTACATTTTACGTCCTGTACGTACAGTACCAAAACTGTACGTACTTAAGACGTACTGTGCTGTTTGGGCTCTTGCAATAACTCTCTAATATTATCCAATATGGCGGCTATTTTGACAGCTGCCAGAAAATTTTTAATACACGATTATTATACAAAAATGTCCCAGAAATTCAAATTTAGAATAAAAAAAGTGGGTTTCAATTTAAAAATAAATTTTCTGTTATTTCCGTAAAAACCGGAAGTAAGCCATGACGTCACAGAATAATTGAATTAATCATAAGAATTAGTTCCAGTCTTTCCAATAAAAAAAAAATTATTTCGATATCTCAATAAATAACGAAGATAAGGGGGGGGGTTGAACTTTTAAGTGGCCCACCCTGTATAGTGGACTACCGGGATGCTTGTTCCATTTTTGTTTTAATTTTTTTTTAATAAAGCGACTAACATTTTTACGAAAAAACCGATATGTGCAAACTATGTATACATATAATCTTTTTTCATTGTAATGAAATCATATGAAAAAAGCATTTTTTAAGATTGTGCAACATGGCCTCCAAGCCTCCCACTAGGAGCCATGTTTGGGCCACTGAATAGGTATATTTGGACCACAAAGTAAACTTTGTTTACAAATGTATTTAAAATAACAGAAATAATAAGAAATGGATATATATTTTGTCACATTTTCGGAAAAGGAAAACATATATTTATTAGACCTTATTAAGGCAAATGGTACCCATTACCAGCACGTTCTGTTCCACAAAATTTTCTTTTTATAATATCATCTACAGAAACGTCTTGAATGTCGTCGATTCACGGGAATTATTCGAAATTCCATGTCTTTTGAAAAATTTCACTGTATAAATTTGAAAAGACTTCTCATTTACAAATCCAATGTAACAAACAGTGGCGTTGGTTTCACAAGAACATAATCATTTTTAATAAAATCCCGATCATTAGGGTCCTCTTCTTTCTCTTCTTCTGTAAATGGGGAATCATCACTTTCCTCGCAGATATCACTCATGTTGGTTTCAGATTCTGACTCTTTAATTATTTTTTTACTAGCGTTGCGGAAAAGTCCACTTTTCCGCACTAGTGCGGAAAAAACTTTTAAAGACGTTTTTTTGGCTTATTTCGCTAAAATTTCCAAAACATGCAAGCCAAACATTCTTTGGTCTAGGTACTCAATGTTAAAAAGTGTAATTAAACTCAAAAAAGACGTCGATTTAAGCAAGTTATTTAAAAAAACAAAACATTGGATTTAGACCCAAAAAATGCAAAAATTTTCTCAAAAGAAGATATTTTTAAGTTTATAAATGAAGCACCTGACAAAATTTATGTTCATATAAACATCACTACGATTTTTGGTTTAGCGGGCGCATGTAGGCGAGAAGAATTAACAAAGATGTCTTTAGATCATATTGATGACAAAGGAAATATTTTATTGATAAATATCCCAGACACAAAAAATCACTCTGCGATTTCTGAGGAAGCTGAAAATGGAAAATTGCTCAATTTGTTCAGAAAGTATGTGAGTTTAAGAAAGCCTGAAACCCCATATAAGCGATTTTTCGTGAAATATAAGAAAAGTACTTGCACTGTACAATGTATCGGAATAAACACCTTCGGAAAAATACCATCAGAGATTGCAAGTTTGCAAGATTGCAGAAGGTTATATAGAAAGCTCACCAAGTTTCCAAAAGGGCCTATCGAATCAAATATTAAACTTCAGTGACGCTGTCGCTGGTCCTTCCACTAGTCAGCAGCTGTCACCAGTAAAGCCTTCCAAAATTACCTCTTCCAGCCAAGCTGCAACAATTACTGCTGGCAAAGCAGTGGAAAACCGAAATCTGACTTCATTGGAAAACATTTAAGCCTCTACAATTAATTTGTAGACTGCTACAAATTGCACGTTCAATATTAATATTAAAAATAATTAATTTGTTGATATGTTTCTTTATGTTCTCCCCTACATTTCTTACTTGCACACACAGATTTTGTATCTAGGTGCAAGCAATAGATATTCTTGTATTGAAACACCAATATTCAACACTTAAAGAATTTATTATAAACATGTACATCATTTTAATATTAAAAAAATTGAATAAATGAATCAGTTGAGGTTTTTGAGCACAATTTTTGATAGCAGAATAACTTTTTTAAAACTAAAATTGACATAAGCTTGCTCAAAGTATTTACTTTACGCACGGTTATCTAACTTTGCGTAATATCTGCTACTTTATCGTTAAGGTTAAGTTTTGTGAAAAATTGTCCACTTTGTAGTCGTGGAAAAAGATACTAGTAATTATTTATTATAAATCTAGGTTTCAGTAATTTTGGAATTATTGGTGGCGAAGATGCAGCACCAGGCCAATTTCCCTACCAGGTATCGATAAAACTGTGTCGTTCAATATTTTGGCAGGAAATATGTGATCACTTTTGTGGAGGATCAATTATTGCGCCCAATTGGATTTTAACAGCTGGTCACTGTTTCGATTATGGCATAAAAACCAAAATATATGCAGGAATTTTGAATATTTCCGAAGATAGTGATTTTAGACAAATTATTGAAGTTAACCAAACTTTTGTACATGAAGAATATAGAGGGTAATTTTTTTAGTAATTATTCTTCAAAGTGGTAAATACAAATTTTGTTTTTAGAAATGCAAATCCAAATGATATTAGATTATACCAACTAAAAGCGCCATTGGTATATACTGAACGTGTTCAACCAATAGCTCTTCCTCTTCAAGATAGTGACTATACTGGTGAAGTAATATCATCGGGATGGGGGTATACAACTGCAGGTTTATTTCCGCACCTTCCTGAGACCCTTCAGTTTCAAATATCTAACATGCCAGATCGAGAAAGTAAGTTTATTTTAACATTTTTACCTAATACATTGAATAAAACGATAGATCATATTTATTCACAAGGTTATTCATAACTGTGGAGTTATAAAGTAGGGAGACGCTATAAGTATCTTTTTCAATCATTCAAAATACTTGGCGTGGATGTTGTCAATCCAATATGGCCGATCCGTCAGGTACGGATTTTTCTGAATAAAACCCAAATCTACATTTTTTTATGTTAGCAATATTTATTAATTGTTTTAAAATGGATGAAATAAATGTCAGATGTACCTTTAGAAATTTCAGTTATTAATTAAAAATTATTACAGTCGGGTTAAAACGTAGGGCTGTGGGGTAGTTAAACACTATCATATTTTTTTGCGGGCTTAATTTAAAAAATCTGATGTGTCCAACACATGACTTTCCTTTCTAGTTATTACAGGCTTTTTCCGGTTATTTTGTACAACCTATTGCAGCACCTCCATAAAAGTTTAGAGGATAAAATAAATATATACATTTTACACATACATCTACCTCGAAACATTTTTTTATAGATATTCATTGAAAACGAAAATACTGAAAAATTTAAATTTAGCACTTTTCCTACAATTTTTCCATTACGGTCCATTTTAGAAAAATTATGTATAAACAAAAATTATAGAAATCGATATCGCAAACAACTTTTAGTTCAACAATTTTCATAAAAATCAGAATTTTGCACATTTTGTCAAATTTCTCGAATACGGACCATTTCAGGAAATTTTGACATAAAGCAAAAATTATAGATAATAATATTAGATAATTTTTATTTGAACGATTTTTTTCTCCAAACGTAAATAACAGATATATTCCATAATATAAAAACGGCCCCCCATAAAGTACCCCTCCAGATGTTCCGACTTTGTCCAAAATCTAATCATTTCACGTCAGGCCGAAATAAAACTTAAGTTTAAAATTTAATGTTTTTTTCTTTATCCGTTTTTGAGTTTTCTTCAAATTTCAAAATTTACACATTTTCTCAAATATCTCGAATACGGTCCATTTTAGAGAAATTATGTATAGGATAAAAATTATAGAGAATTATATTACAAACAACTTTTGTTTGAACAATTTTTATAAAAAAATATTTTTTTTACATTTTGTCAAATTTCTCGAATACGGACCATTTTAGGAAAATTTTGTATAGAACAAAAATTTTAGATAATAATATAAGAAGTAACTTTTATTTGAAGAATTTTCTTCCCCAAATGTAAATAACAGATATATTTCATAAAATATAAAAATGACCACCCATAAAGTACCCCCGCAGATGTTCCGACACTGCCCAAAATCTAATCAGCACATTGGACGCTGGGACAAAGCTTAAGTTTGAAATTTGGTGTTTTTCTGTGTATCGGTTCATGAGTTATGCGACACACAGACACACACACAGACATCATCGCGAAAATAGTCTAAACGGATTCAGGGGACCTCAAAACGTAAAAATCCGTCGAAAACTCGAGGTCGAAAAAAATCATGATTCCTATACTTTTCTTATATCTGGATACAGATAGGAAAGTAAAATGAATAAGCGTACTAGTCATAAGACTTCAGTGGAGACATTTATTTTCCATCTTCATTTGGAAAAGTTAAAAAAAATATGTAAATTTGTAGACTTTGGAAAATAAAAATTATTATTAAATGAAGGAGGAAAAAACATGAAAAGAAGAAAAAACAAGAAAAAATAATAAAAACTAGAAGAAATAAGAAAAACGAGATCAAACGAAAAAAACGAGAAAAAACAAAGAAAAGCAGAGAAAATACAAGAAAAAAATTAGAGAAAATAAGAAAATACAAGGAAAAAAAAGAAGAGCAAGAAAAAGTAGGAAAAAACAAAGAAAGAAACAAGACAAAACAGAAAATACAAGAAAAAAAAAAGAAAAACAAGAAGAAACAAGAAAACAAGAACAAACGAGAAAAAGAAAACAAGAAGAAACAAAAAGAAACAAGAAAACAAGAACAAACGAGAAAAACTAAACAAGAAGAAACAAATAAAAGCAAGAAAAGGCTAGAAAAAGCAAGAAAAGGCTAGAAAAAGCAATAAAAAGCAAGAAAAAGCAAAAAAGCAAGAAAAAATAAGAATAAAGCAAGAAAAAATAAGAATAAAGCAAGAAAAAACAAGAGAAAACAAGAAAAAACAAGAAAAAAAAACAGGAAAAACCAGAAAAAGCAAGGAGAAAAACGAGAAGAAAAACAATAAAAAGCAAGGAAAACGAGAAAAAAACCAAAAAAATAGCAGAAGAGAGAACAAAAACAAAATAAAAAACGAAAACAAAAAACAAACTAAAACAAAAAACAAACGAAAACAAAAAACAAACGAAAACAAAAAACAAATGAAAACAAAAACAAACGAAAACAAAAAAACAAGCAACAAATGAAAACAAAACAAAAAAGAAGAAAATACAAGAACATAAAAAAGCAATAGACAAAAAAAAACAAGAAAAGAAAAAGAAAAATAAGATAAAAACAAGAAAAAACAAGATAAAACAAGAAAAAACGAGAACGAACGAGAAAAAAAAACAAGAAAAAAGAAAATCAAGAAAAAAAAAAGAAAAATAAAAACAGTAAAAACTAGAAGAAATAAGAAAAACGAGATTAAACAAGAAACCAGATAAAAGCAAAACATGAAAAAAAGTAACAAAAAACAAACGAAAATAAAAAACAAAGAAATAAGAAAAATCAAGAAAAACAAAGAAAAGCAGTGTAAAACAAAGAAAAGCAGTGAAAAACAAGAAAATACAAAAAAAAATTAGAAAAAATAGGAAAATACAAGGGAAAAAACAAGAAAAAACAAAAAATAAAACAAGAAAAAAACTAAAAACAAAAAACTGAAATAAAAAAGAAACAAAACCAGAGGAAAAACAAAAACTGAAACAAAAAAAATCTGATGTGTCCAACACATGACTTTCCTATCTAGTTATTGTAGGCTTTTTCCGGTTATTTTGTACAACCTATTGCAGCATCTCTATAAATGTTTAGAGGATAAAATAAATATATACATTTTCCACATACATCTAACTCGAAACATTTTTCTATAAATATTCATTGAAAATGAAAATACTGAAAAATTTAAATTTAGCACTTTTCCTACAATTTTTCCATTACGGTCCATTTTAGAAAAATCATATAAACAAAAATTATAGAGATCGATATCGCAAACAACTTTGATTTTTACAATTTTCATAAAAATCGGAATTTTGCACATTTTGTCAAATTTCTCGAATACGGACCATTTCAGGAAATTTTGACATAAAGCAAAAATTATAGATAATAATATTAGATAATTTTTATTTGAACGATTTTTTTCTCCAAACGTAAATAACAGATATATTCCATAATATAAAAACGGCCCCCCATAAAGTACCCCTCCAGATGTTCCGACTTTGTCCAAAATCTAATCATTTCACGTCAGGCCGAAATAAAACTTAAGTTTAAAATTTAATGTTTTTTTCTTTATCCGTTTTTGAGTTTTCTTCAAATTTCAAAATTTACACATTTTCTCAAATATCTCGAATACGGTCCATTTTAGAGAAATTATGTATAGGATAAAAATTATAGAGAATTATATTACAAACAACTTTTGTTTGAACAATTTTTATAAAAAAATATTTTTTTACATTTTGTCAAATTTCTCGAATACGGACCATTTTAGGAAAATTTTGTATATAACAAAAATTTTAGATAATAATATAAGAAGTAACTTTTATTTGAAGAATTTTCTTCCCCAAATGTAAATAACAGATATATTTCATAAAATATAAAAATGACCACCTATAAAGTACCCCCCCAGATGTTCCGACACTGCCCAAAATCTAATCAGCACATTGGACGCTGGAACAAAGCTTAAGTTTGAAATTTGGCGTTTTTCTGTGTATCGGTTCATGAGTTATGCGACACACAGACACACACACAGACATCATCGCGAAAATAGTCAAAACGGATTCAGGGGACCTCAAAACGTAAAAATCCGTCGAAAACTCGAGGTCGAAAAAAATCATGATTCCTATACTTTTCTTATATCTGGATACAGATAGGAAAGTAAAATGAATAAGCGTACTAGTCATAAGACTTCAGTGGAGACATTTATTTTCCATCTTCATTTGGAAAAGTTAAAAAAAAATATGTAAATTTGTAGACTTTGGAAAATAAAAATTATTATTAAATGATTATTAAAGAAGAAAATGAAGGAGGAAAAAACATGAAAAGACAAGAAAAAACAAGAAAAAATAATAAAAACTAGAAGAAATAAGAAAAACGAGATCAAACGAAAAAACGAGAAAAAACAAAGAAAAGCAGAGAAAATACAAGAAAAAAATTAGAGAAAATAAGAAAATACAAGGAAAAAAAGAAAAGAGCAAGAAAAAGTAGGAAAAAACAAAGAAAGAAACAAGACAAAACAGAAAATACAAGAAAAAAAAAGAAAAAACAAGAAGAAACAAGAAAACAAGAACAAACGAGAAAAACAAAACAAGAAGAAACAAAAAGAAACAAGAAAACAAGAACAAACGAGAAAAACAAAACAAGAAGAAACAAATAAAAGCAAGAAAAAGCTAGAAAAAGCAATAAAAAGCAAGAAAAAGCAAAAAAGCAAGAAAAAATAAGAATAAAGCAAGAAAAAACAAGAGAAAACAAGAAAAAACAAGAAAAAAAAAACAGGAAAAACCAGAAAAAGCAAGGAGAAAAACGAGAAGAAAACAATAAAAAGCAAGGAAAACGAGAAAAAAACCAAAAAAATAGCAGAAGAGAAAACAAAAACAAAATAAAAAACGAAAACAAAAAACAAACTAAAACAAAAAACAAACGAATCAAAAAACAAACGAAAACAAAAACAAACGAAAACAAAAAAACAAGCAACAAATGAAAACAAAACAAAAAAGAAGAAAATACAAGAACATAAAAAAGCAACAGACAGAAAAAAAAACAAGAAAATACAAGAAAATACAAGAAAATACAAGAAAATACAAGAAAATACAAGAAAATACAAGAAAATATAAGAAAATACAAGAAAATACAAGAAAAAAAAAGAAAAAAGGAAAAAAAAAGGAAAAACAAGAAAAAACAAGAAAAAACGAGAACGAACGAGAAAAAAAAAAAACAAGAAAAAAGGAAATCAAGAAGAAAAAAAAAAGAAAAATAAAAACAGTAAAAACTAGAAGAAATAAGAAAAACGAAACTAAACAAGAACCAGATAAAAGCAAAACAAGAAAAAAACAAGTAACAAAAAACAAACGAAAATAGAAAAACAAAGAAATAAGAAAAATCAAGAAAAACAAAGAAAAGCAGTGAAAAACAAGAAAATTCAAGAAAAAAATTAGAAAAAATAGGAAAATACAAGGGAAAAAAACAAGAAAAAACAAAAAAATAAAACAAGAAAAATCTAAAAACAAAAAACTGAAACGAAAAAGAAACAAAACCAGAGGAAAAACAAAAACAAAGCAACAAACAAACAAAAACTGAGAGGAAAACTGAAACAAAAAATGAAGCAAAAACTGAAACTAAAAAATCCGATGTGTTCAACACATGACTTTCCTATCTAGTTCTTCCGATTATTTTGTACAACCTATTACAGCACATCAATAAATGTTTAGAGGATAAACTAAATATATACATTTTCCACATACATCTACCTCGAAACATTTTTCTATAGATATTCATTGAAAATGAAAATACTGAAAAATTTAAATTTAGCACTTTTCCTACAATTTTTCCATTACGGTCCATTTTAGAAAAATCATATAAACAAAAATTATAGAGATCGATATCGCAAACAACTTTTATTTTAACAATTTTCATAAAAATCGGAATTTTGCACATTTTGTCAAATTTCCCGAATACGGACCATTTCAGGAAATTTTGACATAAAGCAAAAATTATAGATAATAATATTAGAAATAATTTTTGTTTGAACAATTTTTATAAAAAATTATTTTTTTACATTTTGTCAAATTTCTCGAATACGGACCATTTTAGGAAAATTTTGTATAGAACAAAAATTATAGATAATTATATTAGAAGTAACTTTTATTTGAAGAATTTTCTTCTCCAATAAATATAACAGATATATTTCATAAAATATAAAAATGACCACCCATAAAGTACCCCCCCCCCAGATGTTCCGACTCTGCCCAAAATCTAATCAGTTCATTAGACGCTGGAATAAAGCTTAAGTTTAAAATTTGGTGTTTTTCTGTGTATCGGTTCATGAGTTATGCGACACACAGACACACACACACATCTGTATACAGATAGGAAAGTAAAAACAGAACGTTTGTATAAAATTTTCTTTATATAGTCTCTTAAAATAGTACTACAACATATTATTTTTGTTTTACAGCTTGTCTGGAACTATGCAATGGAATTTCCAAAAACCCTTTTAACGTTACCACAAATGTTTGTACCGAAAACCCCGGAAAAGACCGTGGTACATGTTTTGGCGATTCTGGAGGCCCTCTTGTACAAAATGCTACCTTGGTCGGTCTTACTTCATGGGGATTTGAACCTTGTGGAAAAAAGGATGCTCCATCTGCTTATACTCGAGTCAGCCATTACATTGATTGGATCAAAGAACGTGTACCAGAGTTATCGTAAAATATGCAACAATTAAAATATTTTTATTTAACAAAAAATTATAATATTTATTTTTTACTGAATAATAGTATATTATTAAACGAGCAATTTATGGTAGCCATTATTCACGCAGGGTGACGTTTGCGTCCCGAGCCGTAGGCGAGGGGCGCAAGTCACCCGAGTGAATAATGGCCATAAATTGCGAGTCTAATACTATACTTTGTCCACGACCATTATGGTTTCTTTATTAAATAAAAGTTAAGTGTAGAATGGAAAGTTTTTATTAAACATAGGTAACTAACTGTTTTTTCGATTTTTCTTCGATTTTTTTCGATTTTTTCGATTTTTCGATTTTTTTTTTCGATTTTTCAATTACTTATAAAGAATATTTCGATTTTTCGTTTTTTCTTCGGTTTTTTTCAATTTTTTTCGATTTTTCGGTTTTTTTTTTCATTTTTCGATTTTTTTTCGATTTTTCAATTACCTATAAAGAATATTTCGATTTTTCGTTTTTTCTTCGGTTTTTTTCAATTTTTTTCGATTTTTCGATTTTTTTTCCATTTTTTCGATTTTTTTCGATTTTTCGTTTTTTTTTTATTTTTCGATTTTTTGATTTTTTTCGATTTTTTTTTATATTTTTTTTCGATATTTTTTTTCGATATTTTTTTTCGATTTTTTTTATTTTTTTTCGATTTTTCAATTACCTATAAAGAATATTTCGATTTTTCGTTTTTTCTTCGGTTTTTTCAATTTTTTTCGATTTTTCGATTTTTTTTTCCATTTTCGATTTTTTTTCGTTTTTTCGGTTTTTTTTTCTATTTTTCGATTTTTTGATTTTTTTCGATTTTTTTTCGATATTTTTTCGATATTTTTTTTCGATTTTTTTCGATTTTTCAATTACCTATAAAGAATACTTCGATTTTTCGTTTTTTCTTCGGTTTTTTTTTTCGATTTTTTCAATTTTTTTCGATTTTTCGATTTTTTTTTCCATTTTTCGATTTTTCGATTTTTCGGTTTTTTTTCTATTTTTCGATTTTTTTGATTTTTTTCGTTTTTTTTGATTTTTTTTCGTTTTTTTTTTTCGATTTTTTTTCGATATTTTTTTTCGATTTTTTTTCGATTTTTTTTTTCGATTTTTTTCGATTTTTCAGTTACCTATAAAGAATATTTCGATTTTTCGTTTTTTCTTCGTTTTTTTTTCGATTTTTTTAATTTTTTTCGATTTTCGATTTTTTTCCATTTTTCGATTTTTTTTCGATTTTTCGGTTTTTTTTTCTATTTTTCGATTTTTTGATTTTTTTCGTTTTTTTTTTTTTTCGATTTTTTTTCGATATTTTTTTTCGATTTTTTTTTCGATTTTTCAATTACCTATAAAGAATATTTCGATTTTTCGTTTTTTCTTCGGTTTTTTTTTCGATTTTTTTAATTTTTTTCGATTTTTTTTCCATTTTTCGATTTTTTTTCGATTTTTCGGTTTTTTTTTCTATTTTTCGATTTTTTGATTTTTTTCGTTTTTTTTTTTTCGATTTTTTTTCGATATTTTTTTTCGATTTTTTTTCGATTTTTTTTTTCGATTTTTCAATTACCTATAAAGAATATTTCGATTTTTCGTTTTTTCTTCGGTTTTTTTTTCGATTTTTTAAATTTTTTTCGATTTTTCGATTTTTTTCCATTTTTCGATTTTTTTTCGATTTTTCGGTTTTTTTTTCTATTTTTCGATTTTTTGATTTTTTTCGTTTTTTTTTCGATTTTTTTTCGATATTTTTTTTCGATTTTTTTTCGATTTTTTTTTCGATTTTTTTTTCGATTTTTCAATTACCTATAAAGAATATTTCGATTTTTCGTTTTTTTTTCGGTTTTTTTTCGATTTTTTTAATTTTTTTCGATTTTTCAATTTTTTTCCATTTTTCGATTTTTTTTCGATTTTTCGGTTTTTTTTCTATTTTTCGATTTTTTGATTTTTTTCGTTTTTTTTTTTCGATTTTTTTTCGATATTTTTTTTCGATTTTTTTCGATTTTTTTTTCGATTTTTCAATTACCTATAAAGAATATTTCGATTTTTCGTTTTTTCTTCGGTTTTTTACGATTTTTTCAATTTTTCGATTTTTTTTCCATTTTTCGATTTTTCGGTTTTTTTTTTCTATTTTTCGATTTTTTTTCGATTTTTTGATTTTTTTTTTCGATTTTTTTTCGATTTTTTTTCGATTTTTTTCGATTTTTTTCGATTTTTTAATTACCTGTAAAGAATATTTCGATTTTTCGTTTTTTCTTCAGTTTTTTTCGATTTTTCGATTTTTCTCCATTTTCGATTTTTTTTTTCGATTTTTCGATTTTTTTTTCGACTTTTCGTTTTTTCGATTTTTTTTTCGATTTTTCGATTTTTTTTTATTTTTCGATTTTTTTTCGATTTTTCGATTTTTTTTCGATTTTTCAATTACCTATAAAGAATAATATTTTCATATCAGTTTAGACATACGTGCTGTCGTGACGTCATACCGTGACTAATGGATCATTATTCACTAGTGAATAATAGGTATTATTATTCTTAAGGAAGTACAAGTATAATGAATGTTTTATAGAACAGTCGTGGACAAAAATAAAAAAAAGGGTTATCTAACCTAATTACATAGATAGTATTATAAAAACATTTAGCTACAAGTTACCTAAAAGTTGTATTCATTATTTTAATTACGTAAATTTAATTACAAAGGAAAGATCATTTGAAATGGCAGAAATTTACGTCACAAAGTATAACAATAAAAACCATCAGATTTTGTGCGGAAACTACCATCTATTCTAAAACAGTGTCGTATAATAAATATTTTGGGGCTTTCTGCTCATAAGACAGATTTGATATTTCAAAAAAGGACATAAATTTACGTCAAAAGGTATAAAAACGATTTTTTTGCCAGAAAGTTCTTTACTAAATGTTTTGTGAAAGTTCTTGTTCTGACAACTTTCTTATATATCTTTTTTTCAAGAAGTCTTCAAGTTGTTTATTCAATTTTTCACCTAGATCTCGACTTTTCTTAATTTTTCTCTCTATACATTCAAGACTTTGCAACGCCATAGGTTTGCTATTGTCATAATATTTCCAAAGTAACCCAATTTTATATTGGTTACAAATTGAACTAGTCTGTTTTCTTGTATTTGGTTAGCTCTTTGGAAATAAACAGTTTAATATTTTGAACTCCTAGGCTTTCAATTGAAAAATTTTCTTTTACAGCATCTAACAGTTCTTTATTAGTACTACATTCACAAATTTGATGTGTATTGTAGTTGATTTTGGTTTGGAGAAAAAAGTGCAAAAACAGTCCAATCTAATCTGCATTTTGCAGCTATTGGTTGGTTTTCTAGGCCTTCCTTTACCCGAAGAAGTAAAGCTAAGTCCCACTTATCTAAACCTAATTGCGGCTTGGCGTTTGCGTATGATTTGAAAGGTAAATTGTTTAAGTAGGGAAATTTTTCTTTAATTTTTATTGCATCTAAGGTTTGTTCTGGAAGATTTAAGGTTCTTACCGTTCTGGCTGGTCGGTGGTCAAATTGTTTTGCCCCAGTTATAGAGTAGAACACCTTTTCTGATTTACTGATTTATCTTCCTGTCCATTTTAAACAAAGCTGCTCTGGATTTCCCCTTAAGTTTAACCTTTGAGCAATACTTTGTTCCAATAAAGTTACAGAATATTTGGTTTAATCAGTCAGTTGAATATCTAGGCCATCTTTTAAACAGCGAAGGATATTTTTACGTTCTGCGTTATTAAGGAAGATTCAATTAAACGCTGTTCGTTTATTACACTTATATTTCGGCACTTGCACAACTTTAATATTCCCGACATTTAGATACGTTTATCGATACGTGTTAACATCTTGCCAGCCGGAGTCAGAGAGAGCGTCCTATGTCCTATCCACCTGCCTCGTTTAATCAAAGCTCTGCGCATGTGCGCTTACTGAGTCTACAGTACTTTTGAACTACTGTATGTCCTTTTACTACTTAACAGATATCATCCCACAGATATCAGGGTCAAAGCAATTTTAGATGCTAAGCCTCCCAAAAATATAAGCGAAGTAAAAGCCTATACAGGTATGCTTAACTTTTATTCCAAATTCATGCCCCATATGAGTAGGGATTTAAAACCTTTATACAGACTTACCGAAAAGAAAGTTCCTTAATGTCAAAAAGCATTCGATCTAAGTAAAAACAAGCTAGTTAGTCACAATCTTTTAATTCCGTATGACCCATCAAAACCTTTAATAGTAAGCTCAGACGCAAGTCCATATGGATTAAGTTGTGTTCTGAGAGAAGAAACTTGCAAAAGAAATATCGAGAGACCAGTAATGTTTGCATCCTCCACTTTAACTCCAACCCAACAAAGATACTCACAGATTGAACGAGAAAGGTTAGGAGTAATTTTTGCTTTTAAGAAATTTTTCAAATAGATCTGGGGAAGAAAATTTAAGTTAGTAGTTGATAATGCTCCATTAAAAAGTATTTGCAGTCCAAGCAAAGCATTGCCTATTTTAGCTACGGAGCGTTTAATTATTAGTTCCTTCTGTTTTGAGATAGAGCATAGGAAAAGTGTATTAGTCTCCCCAGCAGATGCAATGTCGAGATTGCCAGGTGACGAACAATTAGTCGAACCAATCTATAATGTTGTTTTACCCAGTCTACCTTTAACAGTCCCTGATGTAGCTAAGGTTTCTAAGATATATCCAGTCATTTGCAAAGCGATGCAAAATACACTTCATGGCTGGCCAAAGTATAACAAAGATCCCGCCTTACAACCATATTTTAACATCCATTCATATCTCTCCATTGAAAAAGACTGTCTTATGTTTGGAATTAGAGTAATAATTTCTCAAAGTCTTCATAAACGTGTCTTAGTTATTACACATGGGCCACCCTGTAATAGTAAGATGTAAAATGCTCGCGAGAGAAAACGTGTGGTAGCCCACATTAAATTCAGATATCACCTTGTTATGTCAATCATCCCAGACAACACACCAAATCCCAGAGATATCCACAGAATATCTTTTGTGGATATTCAATATATCCACAGGATATCAGAAATGTTCCGTTGATCTAATATGGATATCCAAATGTCCGTCTATATCCAGAAAATAAAAGATATCCTAATGGATATCCAGCAAAATATCTAATGAGCATCTTCCAGAAAATACAAGAAATCCCAGAGATATCCACAGAATATAGTTTGTGGATATTCAATATATCCAATATGGATATCCAACCAAATGTCCGTCTATATCCCAGGAT